AGGGCTTCAGCCCACTGCTAAATTTAGGCAACCATGAGAGGCTGAGCCCATCCTAGTGTTTTAGGACCCAAGGCAGTAGTGACAAAGTAATTAATAGCCAACGAACTCTCTTAAGCTTGTAATTTCAGCTATACATAATTCCTAATTTCATATATGCTAATGGTCTTTTCGAAAAAAAAACCCAGGGTGTAGTTGGCTTGCTTAAGGGATAGAACAATGAATAAGAGTGGATTTAACAAGTACCAACCATAAGCTGCCAGGAGAAAACTTGATCTACTTCAGCCCAAATGTTGTCAAACAGTGAGAATAAAGTTTTAACAATTTTTGGACACGTGTAGTGTTTTATAGCATTTTTATTAGTGGTTATAAGATTTTCATGTATGAATTTGACAAGTTTTCTGAGCTGGAAGAGCCAGCCTAATAATTGACTTGACTCATTAACATTTCCTTTCCTACTCCTTTGATTAACTGTGCTTTGGAAACATGACATATGAAGAAACTTTTCATTCTCTGTAGTAATTTAGAGGGTGATTTTGTGATCAGACTTGTATGTTAAGTTATCCTTAGCCATCTCAGCTCGTCTCTCTTAACTTGTACCACTGTAGTTTATTCCTACACTTTAACTCTGCCTGGAAATGTGTGGTAAAAGCAATGTGTAAAAGGCAGACTTCTCGCTTTGTGAGACTGATAGGTGAAACTACAGAATGGACTGGATTGGAGGAACTCCTTAGGTTCGATGGAACACCAACAGTTCTTTAGCTGCTCCCACAGAGTTCATTTGTAGTCGTTACCTAGAGCCCTGCTACTCAAAATGTAGTCTGGGCACCAGCAATGGTGTCACCTAGGAACTTGTGAGGAATGCAGAATTGCAGACCCCACTGCAGACCAACTGAATCAGAATCTTTTTTTTTTTTGGTGCCTGATACAAAGATTTATTTCTCTCTCCTATGGTCAAATATATTGGCGGGGATGGGGCGGCGTGCTGGCCTCCAATCACAGAGCTGATCTGGAATCCAAGTACACAAAACCCACTTTGCAGCTCCTCCCTTTAGGGCTGTCATTTTTTTTTAAATTGTGGTAAAATATACCTAACATAAAATTAACCATTCTAACCAATTTTTAGTATTCAGTCCAGTACTATTAAGTATATCACACTGTTGGTTGTGAAACCAATCTCCAAAACTCTTTTCATCTTGCAAAACTAAGACGCTATACCCATTAAAAAACCCATTCCTGCCATCTGCTCTGGCCACCGCCATCAGAAATACAATAAGACTCTGAGGTGCAGGTACGTAGCACCTTAAAGTCTAAGGAGCCTGATCCAGACAGCAGCTTATTTTTTTCCAATTCTGTGCTCTTTTACCCGAGAGTTCAGCAAAAAAAATATTTCTCATTACCTAACAAGGAACTAGGATGAAACCCCTTGCCTGCAGCTTCTTTTAATACCATCCACCACTTAGTGCTATCCTAACAAGTTTGGATCAGTAAGTCATAACTGAGGATGAACTTTTTAACTGGTATGTTTAAACCCAATCCATTAGGCCAGAGGCCCTTAAGGAGAGGGAGAAAACAAATACATACACCATTTGGTATGGGCCGTTTCAAGTTATTTTTATTAGTAAAAATATGGAAAACAGCTTGGATGTACTTGAATTTCCAATTATGTGGTCCACTGACAGAAAAAAAAATGTGGGTGTGCTAAAAGTAGTAGTAGAAGTCTAGTATTTACAAATACTGATTTGTTTCTGCCATAGATCAAGTAAATTCTTCTCAGAACTTAACTATAGCATGTGAACGTCTAATTTCAGCTTTGACCTAATAGTTTAACTTTTTTACTTTGCAGATTTGTCTTGATTTTGAAGCCCTGGCATTCACACATCCTGACTTCTAGTTTTTGAATGTAAATCACTCAATACTTGTATTAAAATAAAAAACAGATCCTGGTTGCCTATCATTATTGTAAAGTTTCTATATTTACTTCAATTAATTCACATATAGTTATTGCAATGTGAGAGGTGTTATAAGAACAGTTTCTGTAATATTAAGTGTGGATCAAAATAACATCTGTAATAGGTATTGATAAACTAATATTTTATTTCTTTTTTAAGTTAGCCAACAACCTTGGATCTATGGCAAATACTGATTCAGCTATTCCCAACTCTCTTTTCTATTGCTTCCTCAACCACAGAAGTTAACAACCTAAAACATTCACCAGTCTGGGCTCCTTGGTTAGTAACAGCCACTGGCCCAGTTCTATCCAATAAGATATAACCAAAGAGTTTCTGCAAAAATTTTATTAAGGGAAACAGTTGGCTGGCATGTATTTTGTACATGATAAACTAATTTTAAAACATGAAACAGAATTAGACAAGTAGCTTGAATGAAATTATAAAGAGTGCATTAAAATACCAGCAGTAAAATTTCTTCAAGAACTAAAATGACAGGGTAAAAATAAAAAATAGTCCCTTAGAAAATATTAACTTGCAGCCAATCTTATATTCTTCTTCTTTGTTTCAATGGATGACTTGTATGTACACTGTCTAGCTTGTCCTCTGGAGGCTCTGGCACAGATGAAACCACCTAGTTGAAAAAAAAAGAACCACCAAAACTTAATTTTTATAGTACAAGGGTAAATTAGACTATTAAAAGAAGTAGACTATATATTCAATAGCCTATCTTTGCTATCACATTTGAAGCAGAATTAACCCAAGTTCAAGGTACAGCCCATGATCTAGGCACAGAGCAGTTTTCTATCCAAACATTGATGGGAGTAAAATTTCTAAAGACATTTAACAAGAAAAAAAGAAATGAGAAGAGAGAAGTAAACACACACTCTAGTTTAACATTCCTTTATAGATCTGAAGTTACTTGTTATTTTATGAATACAGATAGATACCCTGGTTGTGCACAACTTGAAATGCTGAAAATGTCTGGTATATTTACAGACATGGAAGCTTGAGGCAGGGAAAGGAAAAATTTGGAGAAATAATCAGAAAAAGGTTAGATAAGAAGAGTTTAAGAGTCTTCATTTAAAATGAAAAATTATTAGAGACTGTAGTAAATTGTATTTACATTCGCCTTTTTGTTGCCCATTATTTCTATAGCTAGGATTTGGACCTAATGATTTTTTCTTGAAAATACAACCAGCTCTGGCTGCGACAGCGATGTATCTGTATCTATGCCTTAGTCAGTTGCATGTGAAGGAAGAAAGGGTGCTAGCATAAACTAAAAAATTTAAAAGAGGCATAAGCATAGAAATCGTGTCCATGGATCTTTATTATAAAACAATCCCTTGTCCTTAATCGGATAATAATTTTAAGGTAACAAATGTACATAAAATAAATTAAGCTACCTAAGTCTCCCTAAATCACACTGGAAAACATATGTACACCTGTGTGAAAAGCACTTTCTGAACATCAGAGTAAAGTATAAGAGAATGTTCTTTCTCCCTTGGTTTATGATTTCTAAAGTCTTGCTCCACAATAATTTATTTCAAAAGCAAACTCAAATGTTAGCCTTCTTTTATTTGTGCTTAGAAAGTGGAAAATGATTATGTAAATAATGTAAAAACCATTACTAAATTGCACAATCTTTGCACAATCTATAATAGTTCTAATCTATTTAAGAGGTTTACATTTGAAATGCAGACCTTAAGGCCTAATCTTTAGAAGTCTCACCTTCTTCTATGGCTATCTCTATTAAAGAAGGAAAATAAATGTTTTGAATTTGATGTAATTTGTAATAACTTTGAACTTTAGAGAAATATACTGTAATAGTTTTCCTTTCATACCATATGCTCCAGATTTCTGGTCAAGATGGTGGAGTAGGTAAATGCTGTGGTCGCCTTCTCCAAAGACCACATCAAAATTACAATTAAACTACAGAACAAATATCATTGAGAATCACCTGAAGTCTAGCTGACCAGAAGTCCCTCAACTAAGGTATACAGAAGGAGCCACTTCCAGACTGGTAGGAGGATGGAGACACGGAATGGGCTGGTCCCACACCCCCGTGTGGCGGTTAAAAATTGGGAGGGATATCTCGGCTGTGGAGGTGCCCCCAGAGGAGTGAGGGTCCCAGCCCCACACTGGGCTCCCCAGCCAAGGGTTCCAGTGTGGGGAAGAGAAGTCCCCACAATATCTGGCTGTGAAAACCAGCGGAGACTCTGGCTGACAGACAGGAGGGCAGCTGGAGTCCCAGGAGTTGCTCTTAAAGGGCCCGCGCATGGACTCATTCAGTCTGAGCTCCAGCTCTGGGGCAGCAGATTGAAAGGCACCAGAAACATCCAGGGAGGAACTGAATTGTCTGGCTACAAAAAGCTGTCTGATACAAAACACATTTTGTTCATTGTTCAAAGCAAGGATTAAATTGTATCAAAGCAAATAAATTTCTATTAGTCAAATTCAGTTAATTCAACAGCAGGAAAACATCAAAAAACTAAAAATGAAAAAAATTAACGACAATGTTATAATTCTCACAAATAAGTCTCCATTTAATTGTTAGTCCTATAACCAAATCATCTCTTGACACAGTTTAAAAATGATCTTACCTCTTTAAGTTTGTTCCGAATTAAATTCGCAGTTGTATTCAATGAGTCGTCATGCATATCCACTTTAGGGATGTCTGGTAAAAGAGGCCCAATCATGACCTCATTACTGCTCATGTTTGTTTCAAGAAAAGTTCCAAGTTTAAGATCATTTTCTCTTCTTCTTTTACGCTCCTGCAGTTGTGTTGTCCTAGGCATAAATCTGTCAACTGCCTCTGAAGGAGTAATAATAGCCTTCTGTGCACCAGGGCAGGCCACTGAATTTTTAAAAGTTTTCATTGGCATTTTCTGCAGAGAGTCATTGTGGTTGCAGTGCCCCACTGTTTCACCAAGGTTTCTACCATCCTGAGAGGAGTTCGATGCTCCATCCACATGCTCTCTTGATGAGCAGGTACATTTTGAGGAGAAATAACATAAAGGCAACTCACAAGAATAAGGAAGACAAGGATCTGCGTTCCCAGCTGCACAAAATCCAGATCTCTCCGAATGGAAGTCCTGTTTAAAATACTTTGTGTCTTTATGTTCCGTAACCAGTTTCTTCTTTGTCATGAAATGATCTTTATATTACAATTTAAAAGGTGAGGGATAGGGAAACAGAAATGGTTCATTTATTGTAATCATCATTTTAGAAATGCGTAATTTTACAAACAAACATTACTTTAAAATGTTAACAAATGCTACTCTGAAAACTTGATTTCTTGAGGAGATAATACGATACATTCATGTGGTTTAAAGTCTAAAAAGGATAAAGGTATATGAAGTGTCAAGTTTCACTCTTTCCTTGCTCCCCATATGCCTGGTTTCCACCTCCCATAAGTAATCAATAGTCTTACTTTGTCCAGTAAGTCTTACTTTTCCTCCTTCCACCTACCCTTCTTTCTCTCCTATAATACCCATTTTTCTGCACCTTTGTATTTTCCACTTAACTGTGGATCTTGGAGAGGTTTTCCATGTCATTACATAGCTGCTTTTTTTTTTTTTTACAGCATCAGAAAATTCCATTACATGAATGTGCATGCTGCTTAGCTTGTGTTTGTTAGTTTTTAAGGAGGCAATATGCTGTGCCCATGTTTTATAATTCCCTTTGCCCCAACGCATCAAGCTTGCCCGGAGCTAGGTAGTTGCATATCCCATAGGTTAAAAGTTCGGTGTCAACAAATGACCAGGGACTCTCAACAGTTCTCTTGCCAAATTTTCATGGAAATTGTCTCTCTTCACCACTGGCACATGCCCCTTCCCCAATCAGCCATAAACTCACCATATGCATTAGCTGTATGGACACTGACTTTGTCTTTCAATTAAAGGGTGGAGATTTGGTCATTTGAGCCTCTAGTACTATTCAGTTTTCAGACCACACACATTATCTTAATCCAATTCTGACTGCTCTAGTCCTACAATCCATGAACCAGACCCCATGACTTCATTCCAGGCATTTGGAATTTGTATCTAGGGAAACACAGTTGGGCACTGGAAGCACTTAGCCAGCTGCTGGTCAAAAGTAAAACGTTTCCACTTTTAGCAGTTTTAGATTAGCAGTTGGTAAACGGTCTAAATCTAAGAATCCTAATTGTTTCTCACCGCCTTTAGGTCAAAGCTTTAATTCCTTAGCATGTGACACAAGGCCCTTCATGATTCACTTCCTGTCTTTTGTTCATCTTATCTCTCACTGAAGCTCCTGTGTTGTGGTTATCCTGTACTACTCACAGGTCCTTAAACTGCAGGATGCTCATTTATTCCTCTGGGTCTTTAAACATTCTATCTGAATAATGTCTACTTATCTTTCAAAACTCAGCCACCTCTTATCCTGTAGGAAGTTTTCCACGAACCAACATTTCTCCCTTCTCAGGCCAGACAGAGTGCTACACAGAACCCTACAGTTTACAGTTATTGAATACTGTGATCATTTACTTGTCTCTCTTCCCACTAGACTGGGAGCTCTATGATGATATACTTAGCAGAATGATTGACACATAGGTGTTTAGTAACAGGCTTTGCATACCTTTATTTTTAGTAATTCTTCCTATATAAGACTTCCTCTCTTGTAATTTTTTTCTAGTTTCTTCAACTGTCTCAAATTCTGGAGCATAGCACACATGAAGCAATCCACCAAAAAAACTCTGTTCATCCATTTTTCTCTTGGCTATCCTACACGGAAATACATGATAGCATGGTTTATTAATCTTGATTTACTTAGGATAAAAGCTTAACTAGTACACAATGCATTGATCTATAGAGCAAAGTCCAGCTTTTGCTATGTGTATGTACATTCTACGGTTTGGGGGGAATTAAGATGCTGTACTTGTGAATAGTATTGACCCTTCTGACAGTGTATTCTGTTAGAACCTTTCCTTCCCTCTCCAAACTGTGTTAATAGGTTTTGAGCTATTGATCCACGTGTGTAACAGAATCCCTTTAACCAACTTAGGATCCAACTGGGTATACAATCCATAGATAGAGATTTTCTCTATGGTAAGTTAAATGGCCCTTGAGAGTGAGTTCATACCCAATTTAGCCTTTTCAGCACAATGTGTTCCTATAATGGGACTCGTATATAATAAAAATATTATAATTGTAAAACCTACAATTAATGAGGAAATACTGAATATATAACAACTAAGCAATGAGAAAATGAAAAGACGGTATTCATTCAATAAACACTTAAACATCTATGACTGGTCAGGCATTACAACAATAAATATTTTAAGTTCTTCTGAGCCCAGGTATAATGATAAGAACCATTTATTGAGATTTTACTACGGACTAGGCAGTGTCCTAAGTACTTCACTTGAATTAACACTTCACAACAACCCTATGATGAAAGTGAGGCCCAGGGACATTTATAAATTGGCCATGCTCACTCACATTGGTTTGTGGAGCTAGGATTCAAATCCAGATGTTGAACTCCAAGGCCTACGGTCCTACGTGCTGTGGAAAATGCCAAAACTCTAGAAAACATGCTAACCATGAGGAGCTGGCAAGTTGGATATGGAAGTGAGATTACATAGAAGAGCAACCTGAGAACAATACATGACCCCAAAAAATCAAGTGCTTTTATGGCAGACTACATGTACTATTTGTGGCACAGAAAATATGAATTGTAATAGCCAGGGAAGGATGGGTCTTGGAGCAAATTAGTAGGGGTCAGCATAAAAATAAATAAAGCATTTCATATTTCAGTCTTATTGGAATAGAATTTGTTATATAGAAAGCTGGAAAAGATGGGATCAATTCACATAGGTGCAAAACAATAAGAACCTCAATAACTAGTGTTTATTGCATTCTGAACAAGAGGCACTATAATAAATCCTTTACATGGAATATCTCATTTCTTCCTCACACAACCTCAAGTAGGTACTTCTACCATATGGATTTTACAGAATAGGAGAAACAGGCTTAATGGGGTTAAATAACTTGTCCTAGACCATGATGTTAGTCAGCAGTGGAACTTGAAAACTTATTCCAAAGCCAATTTATAATCTACTACACTGTATGACAGAAAAGTGTTAAGCATGGGAATGATATGATGGAATAGTCTTTTGGTAAGGCTAACATTTAAAAGGACAAGGAAGGGCCGGCTGAGTGGCGTGTTGGTTAAGAGTTGGCTTGGGATGCCAGCTCTGAGCAGCAGGACCGCTAGTTCGGATCCCACATGGGCCAGTGATGCTGCGCCCTCTACAGCTAAGATGGTGAACAACAGCTCGACCTGGAGCTGGGCTGCCGTGAGACTGCCTCACCCGGGAAGAGCGCAATGATAATACCAACATGGGCCAGTGAAGCGATGTCCTCCACAATTAGACTGAAGAACCGAAGGACAGCAACTTGCCTGTTTCCCTTCCCCGATTCCCCAACGATATCCTCTCTCCCAATTCCCCAATAAAATCTTAATAATAATAATAATAATAATAATAATAATAAAAAGACAAGGAAGACAATAATACAGGGCTATGGTAAGTTACTGGGTAATTTAGGTGTGAAGGGGGGAAACCTGGGGCCAAAATAATAGCAATGGAAATGAAGGAGATAAGACACTGCTTAACTTGCATATTACCTTGCACTCTGTAAATTCACAAATTTAATAAGGTAAACTTCTGTAAAGTCTTCTGCTGGGTATTCATCTAGAGCATTATACTGTTCAATTGCACCATATAGAGCAAATCGCTCAACTAATTCCTTCATTGCTCCCACTGCAGGAACTCCTTGTATTAATAAATACCGAGATTCCAAATTAATTGTATATACCTAAAAGAAATACAGACACATTAAACGTATTTCATAAATAAACCCAGGACAAATCTGCTTTAAAAAAATAAAAGCTTTGAAAACAAATATTCTGTTCCACTGGTCTGCAGAAAACAGAACATCACAAAATGTGCCCCTCTCTCTGCCAAACCAAAAATTCACCCCACGTGTCAGGGCCTCTAACTAACGCATAAAACAGACTACCTTAATTGACATGTTTTCCAGAAGCTGGTTCGGTAGAAGTTACTGGAGTTAACAATACTCATTGAGTGCTTACCGTGTGCCAAGCACTATCATAAACACGGAAGATCCCATGACTAAAACAAAGCCCTGTTTTCACAGAGCTGACGTTCTAGCAGCACTTAACCAAAGAGGTCGTGGGAATCGGTGGTAGCTGAGTACCAGGGTTGCTCATACCCATCCCAAAGGGGTGAGTGAGGTTCTAGCAGCACTTAACCAAAGAGGTCGTGGGAATCGGTGGTAGCTGAGTACCAGGGTTGCTCATACCCATCCCAAAGGGGTGAGTGAGGGATACGACCTCCGCCTTTCAAGCTTTCATATACGTAGGCTTGGCATGTGAAACTAGAGCTCACATAAAACTACGGAAAATGGCGAACGAAACCAAAATCACTTTACCTTGACAGCACGAGGCCGTCGCCCCTCCCGGTACTTGGCCCGCGTGTCGCACACAGCTCTTTGGACGTGGTGGTCCAATAAAGTCCCCAGCTCCCCGCCACTCGACGCCATCTTGCCGACTTTGGCCCTTACAGAAATGACAACATCCGCCAGGCTGCACTTCTGTTTATCCAATAAGAGAGAGGGATGGGTCAAGACGTGCCGGGATTGGCTGAAGGATCGACAATTGTTTCCTGCAAGCGATGATTCGGTGAATGAGGTGCCGCCCCCCAGCGGCGCGGCGGAGAGCGGGAGAAGGCTTGCTTGCTCCTCCCCCTACCCGTGTGCGGTGAGACGCGCCGCTGGGCGAGGGGGGCGGGGCCGATCGATTATATCCTGTTGCGACGCCCTGGGCCTGACGGGTTGGCTGGGGTCCGCTGGGGTTGACGGTAGGGGGATCTGTGTTGGCAGACGATGTGGGGCAGCGAACGCCTGGCGGGTGCCGGGGGAGGTGGAGCGGCGGTGACTGTGGCCTTCACCAACGCTCGCGACTGCTTCCTGCACTTGCCCCGGCGTCTCGTGTCCCAGCTGCACCTGCTGCAGGTAAAGCGCTGGCTCCGGCGGGGTCTCCCAGCCCAGACTCGGGACACCTGGTGCATAGTCTGGGGTCGACCTGGCCGAGGCCTTCCAGGGACGCGGCGGCCGCTCAAGGCCTCATCCGGCGACCGGGCACAGGCTGCTTTCTCGGTGCCGCCGAGCGGTGTAGTGGCCAGACTGAGGGCCCTTCGAGGGCAGGGCCGGTCTGGGTAGTCTGTGCAACCCACACGACGACGTCTAGTGCAGCCCAGGCCTTTAAGTTAACTGGCCTTATCTCAGGGCTTTTCACTCGGCTTCCAAACATCTTAATATTGTACTTCTGCGTTCAAATATTCCTCACTCCAGGTTGGAAAGCCCTTCAGAATTGTTTGTGTTTTA